CACAAGTTTCTCAACTTTTATTTCAAATTGGGCCTTGGCTGGAACTCAGTCCTTGTTTGTTGGAAATGATCTCAATGTAAAATGGTAGTCTAGCTCAATCATGGGTTGACAATTGGATCCTTTTAATACTTTGGAGACATTTATGCAGCCCCCTGACCATTGATGGGGAATTCTGTGCCAGTGCAATGATAGGATTGTGGGAAGTTTGCCCTTTACCTCTAGTGAGTGGTGGGTAAGGTCTTCATGTTAGATAATCTTTACTTTCACTACGATGGATGCTGTAGCTTAGACCTTGGATATCCCCTAAAGGCTTGGTCCCTAGGCTGATGCACTTAGGAGTTGCTGGAACCATTGGGAGCTGGGGCCTACTAGAGGAAAATACATTACTAGAGGCGTGTCCCCAAAGGAGAATTGGAAAATGGCTCCTTCCTCTGTCATACTCTTAGCTTCCTAATTTCCAGGAGCAGAGAAGATTCTTGTTCTTGCCAGGGGGACACCGTGCCTCTGCAGGCTAAAAGGATGTGGGACCAAGTGACCACAGACTCTGAAACCATGAGTCAAAAACTAAACAAAGCTCACCAAAACAATCCCCCCTCCCCCCCCCCCGACTTTCTTCTTTAAAAGCTGCCTCATGTGTCTGTCATAGCTACGGGAAGCTGACCAACACAGTGCGTCTGTTAGGCTGAAGCGTGTTTAACCATGTTTGTACCCTCACTGTGCTTTCTCTCTCTCTTGTCTCCATAGTGCCTTTTTATATAGTTTTGTTTCCTTTATTTTGGAATTTTACTTAAAACACATTATTTAATAATTTCTATTATGTGACCTCATTATCTGTCTTATTATTGAAGTTTTTGTTAGTAGAAGCAGATTTATTCATTTATTCACTTCTGAAGCAGGGTCCTGCCATATACCTTGGCTCATCTCCAATTTGCTGTGGAGCTCATGGAGGCTGGCCTTGAACTTGTGATCTTTCTGCTTCTGCTTCCCTAGTGCTAATTATAGTTTTATGCTACCACGTGTAGCAAAGCAGCCTTTTATTTGCTTTAAATGGTGGTGGCACATGCCTTTAATCCCAGCACTCAGCAGGCAGAGGCAGGCAGATCTCTATGAGTTCAAGGCCAGCCTGGTCTACAAGAGCTAGTTCCAGGACAGGCTCCAAAGCAACAGAGAAACCCTGTCTCAAAAAAAAAAGCACACTTGTTGGCTCTCCATTTGCTTTTTGATTTTGAGCTCGTCTTCAGCGTTCGTCTGGTGGAACCAGCAGCAGAGGAAGAGGCTATGCCCTTCTGGACTGGGTTTTCGATACCTTCCACATCCCTAGGGGTATTATCAACTTTTGGCAAGTTTCCACGTTAGATCATAAGCGTGGGTTTTTCTGGTCCAGCTGGATTGTGTACACTTTGGTTTGCGTGTTTTCAGGGCTGAGGGTTAAACTCAGGGCTTCATGTGCTAAGCATGTGCTCTAACACGAAACTGTCGATTCAGCCCATGATAATATGAGTTTTAACTCTTGAGCTTGTGAGATCTGTGTGATCTTTTCCCCACCCACGTAGATCATAGACGGAGACAGATAGGCACCCTCCTCTGTGCTCCAAATACTTAGAGATTTTTTCTCCTAGCCTGCACTATCAATGAAGTCGAGTTATTTGTTGGCTCTTGTTTCACATGGGAATCTGGGTTTCACATCTCTGCTTTGCTTAGGGTATTAGTCTAATTTTTCAGTGTCTCCAGACTAGCATGAAATTCAAGTCTTGTACCTATGCACCAGGAGATATGTGCAGAAGACTAATAGCTTATTTATGATAGCTCAAAAGTGGAAACAACCCAAGTGACCCTCATGGGTAGAACTGCTAAAAATAGTGACATTTATCTTACAGTGGAAGACTATGCAATACTGGGTTAGAGCAAACTGCTGATAAATGCAAGAACATGGGTCTCTTAGGGTTTCTGTTGCTGTGATGAAACACCATGACCAAAAAGCAAGTTGGGGAGGAAAGGGTTTATTTGGCTGACACTTCCGTTTCACTGTTTATCACTGAAAGAAGTCAGGACAGGAGCTCAAACAAGGCAGAAACCCGGAGGCAGGAGCTGGTACAGAGATCATGGAGGAGTGCTGCTTTTTGGCTTGCTCCCCGTGGCTTGCTCAGCCTACTTTCTTATAGAACTCAGTACCACCAGCCCAGAGCTAGCACCACCCACAGTGGGCTGGGTCCTCCCCTATCAATCACTAAGTCACTAATTAAAAAAATGCCTTATAGACCTGTCTACAACCCAATCTTATGAAGGCATTTTCTCAACTGAGGCTCCTTCCTCCCAGATGACTTTAGTTTGTGTCAAGTTGACACAGAGCTCTCCAGAACAAGGAGTAAAGTGTAAAAAACATTATATCGAGTTAAAGAAGTCAAAGCAAAGACACTTAATGTTCTATTTCACTTCTACAGTGTCTTGAATAGCAAAACTGATCCTTGGTAAGAAGTCAGGATGGTGGACACACTCGAGGGGAGAGAGTGTCTAAAAGGGGGCATGAGGTAGCCCTCTGCAAGTCTGTCAATATTCTATAGAATATAAGTGGAGGTTGCAACATGGTTGTGCATGTCCATCCATGTCTGCATGAATTAGATAAGCTCAGCTCTTAAAAATTATGTGTTGTTTGTTAGCTAATTATATCTCAATACAATTGTAGACAAAAACTAAGACCTCCAGGGAAGTCATAGGCGGCTAATTTTTGCTCCTCTAGCTTGCAGTTGCCCTGTATCTTTGGGGGCACTGGTGATATTCTATTCTTTTTCTATGAGCTCAGCTGAAGATGTAAAAGAATATTTGCAGCATTTTCTAGCACTTACTACCTTTCTCTTGTGGCTGATAGGAACCTGCCACATTGTTGAAGTCTCTTCTGACATAAATCAAGTTTGCAGGTTTGCCACAGGAATTTTGTTGGGTAGAACCTACATATTTTAGTTTCTTCTTGTTTATTTTCTGAAAGCCACACACATGATAGGGTTTATCATGACAGTTGGTACATAGATACAATGTATAGGGTTTATCATGACAATTGGAGACACAGATACAATGTATAGGGTTTATCATGACAATTGGATACATAGATACAATGTATAGGGTTTATCATGACAATTGGAGACACAGATACAATGTATAGGGTTTATCATGACAATTGGATACATAGATACAATGTCTAGGGTTTATCATGACAATTGGATACATAGATACAATGTGCAATGATCAAATGCTGTTTCCATCTCCCCTAAGAGTGATCATTACAGTGTGTGGGGAAACTTCACACACTTTCAGTTCTTTATAAAATACATGGTAGGGCATTGTAAGCGAGGTTATCCCACTGATATGTACAACACTAGAACTTATTCCTCCTGTCTAACTGTATTTAATAGCTGTTATCTGAGCTCTATTTACTCCTCCTAACCTCTAGGGGCTACCCTTCTACTCTCTACTCTGTGAAACCACCTTTAACTACTCTACACGAATGGGACCATATGATATTAGTCTTCCTGTGTCTGGCTTATTTTACACAATGCCTTCTATTTCCATCCATATTGTTGCAAATGGCAATATTTTTATATTTTGTTAATGAATTTTTTTTCATTGAGAACACAGGATTTCTCTGGTCACTTTGACACACATTCGTGTTCAGGGAGCGTCCCCACGTGGGTCGTTTGGTTAGAGTGGTTTCCTAGTGATCTGGGGAAAGGAGCTTGATGTGCCCTGGTGGAGATGATCCCTTGCAATGTTGCATTGAGGGGCAGCTGGAGACAAAACATACACAGGTTTCCATAGGTGCAAGAAGTCGCCTGTCAGGAAGGGACTGAGATTCTGATGACCCCAGATAAAGGATCAGGTGTTTCCGGCTTTCTCTATGGACTGACGTAATCTAGAATGTGATTTTTCAGTGAGAAAAGAGACACCTCTGAATGATTTGGTATGAAGTCCCAGGTTCAAACATGGGGTTTGAGGGGCCATGAATGAACACTTTCTGATGCAGGGTGTAGTTAGATAAGAAGTCATTTATGACTTCGTGTCTTAGGGTTTCTATTGTTGTGAAGGGACACCATGACCATGGCAACTTTTATAAACGAAACCATTTAATTGGGGTAGCTGCTTATAGTTTCAGAGGTTTAGTCCATTGTAATCAAGACAGGAAACATGGTGGCATGCAGGCAGACATGATGCTGGAGAGGAGCTGAGAGTTCTACATCTTGATGCAGCACAATTAATACAAACCCAGAGACAGAAATTGGGATTCAATCTGAAGGTCAGAAAAGTAAAACAGACAGCCACTGGCTCTTACCTCTACCTCAGTCCAGAATGGTGATCCTGCTTCCAGGAATCTCAGAATGAGACTGTGTGAGAGCTGTCTCCTCCTGCTTTATATTCCTCTCTAGGGCTGGGATTAAAGGCGTGCACCACCACCACCTGGTTTCTGTGGCAGACTGGCATGGCTATTGAGATTAAAGGTGTGTGCCACCACTGCCTGGTCTGTAAGGCTGACCAGTGCAGCTGTGTTACTCTCTGACCTTCAGGCAAGCATATGTATTAAAATACAAATGAAATACCACTACATCTTGACCTGTAGGCAGCAGAAGGGGACTACACTGGGCAGAGCTTGAGCAAAGAAGCCCTCAAAGCCACCCCCACAGTGACACACATCCTCCAACAAGGTCATACCTACTCCCACAAAGCCACACCTCTTAACAGTGCCATTTCCTTCACGGGCTGTTTTCTTTCAAACCACCACATTCTACTTCTTGGCCTCCAAAGGCTTGTAGCCATATCATAATGCAAAATGTGTAATTCAGTCCAACTTCAAAAGTTGCCATAATCTACAATAGTTTTAAACTTATTTAAAAGTCTAAAGTTCAAAGTCTCTTCTGAGTTTCATGTACTCTCTTAACTACAATCCCCCATAAAAATCAAAGTAAAGAGTGTGATCTGTTCCTAAGGTTCAGTTTTGATTTCCCTTGTGAACTATGGAGAATGACTTTTACCTGCGTTACTACGTGGGTCACAAAGGCAAGTTCGGTCATGAGTTCCTGGAGTTTGAATTCCGACCTGATGGAAAACTGCGATATGCCAACAATAGCAATTACAAGAATGATGTCATGATCAGAAAGGAGGCTTATGTACATAAAAGTGTGATGGAGGAATTGAAGAGAATCATTGATGACAGTGAGATCACCAAGGAAGACGATGCTCTGTGGCCCCCTCCTGACCGAGTAGGCCGGCGGGAGCTTGAAATTGTCATTGGCGATGAACACATTTCTTTTACAACATCAAAAATTGGTTTCCTTATTGATGTCAACCAGTCTAAGGATCCAGAAGGCTTACGAGTGTTTTATTATCTTGTCCAGGACCTGAAGTGTTTAGTCTTCAGCTGTTGAAATACGGAGCGGCGGGCTGTGTCCCGCCACCTGGCTAGCTTTACCCAAAATAATTACACGGAAACTGTATTCTTTTAAACACTGCCTGACCCATTAGTTTCAGTTTCTTATTGGCTAGCTTTTACATATGGATCTAACCCATTTCTATTAATCTGTGTAGCCCACGAGCTGGCTTACCAGGAATGATCTTAACCTGTGTCTGTCTGGAGTGGGAGAACCATGGCGACTCCCTGACTCAGCTTCTTTCTCCCAGCATTCCGTTCTGTTTACTCCGCCTACCTAAGGGTTGGCCTATCAAATGGGTCTAGGCAGTTTCTTTATTAATAAGAAATTACTCCCACATCATTCAGCCTTATTGGATTACATTTCAGGATTAAACCAACCTAGATTGGATATTGTGGACCTGAGGGGGTGGGAATTTTTAGTTACCGTAATTAGGAATTTTTTCTGTATATTGGGGCAATTTTTATAAACAATAAATGATGGTCTTTAATAAATGTGATAACATCTACTTTTTGTTACTTTAAAAAAAATCAAAGTAAAAAAATCAGATCGCATACTTCCAAATGTTATGCCTCAGGATATATATTACCATTACAAAACATAGGGAAGGCAGCCTAGTGAGGAGATACTGGACCAAAGCAAGATTGAAAACCAACTGGGTAAACTCCAAGCTTTGCATCTCCAAGTCTGATGTCAAGACACTCTTCAGATCTCCAACTCCTTTCTGCATTTTTGACTGTGACTTGCTTCTTTATCTTGGACTCATTCCATTCCCTGTTAACATCTCTCCTCACAGGTATCCCATGGCTCTGACATCTCCAACATCTTGGTATCTCCAAGGCATTGCTGGCTTCCCCTTTACAGCTTCACACAATGGTCTCTCTGGACCTCCATGCAGGAACATTCCTGCCAGACACCTGGCCTCAGTGGTTTTTCTTATTCACAGAGAAAGATTCCATAACTCCTTTTTTTCTATCCCTGACTTTGAAGTCAGAACCAGGTGGCTGAAGCTGCCAAGTTCTGCTGCTTGCTGTGCCTGGAACATGACCCTCTTGTTCAATTACATCTTCACCAGCTTTCAGTTTTTGACAGAAGCCTCATTGTAACATCCTTTGCCTCAGAAACCTCTTGAGTCTGCCCCACTACAGTTTAAATGACCCTCAGTACCATGCCTTCCATGTTCCTACGAGTGTGGCCCACTAAGCAGAGCTAAAAGCATCCCACTGTTTTCCTAACCCAAAGTGCCAAAGTCCAAATTTCTTTCAACAAAAATATAGTCAGGCATATCACAGCAATACCCCAGTCCCTGGGACCAACTTCTGTCTTCGAGTTTCTATTACTATGAAAAGACTTCATGGCCATGGCAACTCTTGTAAAGGAAAATATTTAATTGGAGTGGTTTATAGTTTCAGAGGTTTAGTCCATTTTCATCATAGCAGAAAACATAGTGGCGTACAGGTAGGCATGATGCTGGAGAAGGAATTGAGAGTTCTGCATCTTGGTCTGTAGGCAACAGGTAGTAACCTGTCTCATGGTGTAGCTTGAACAAAGATGACCTCAAAGCCCACTCCACAGTGACATACTCTCTCCAACAATGCCAGACCCACTCCAACAAAACCATACCTCCTAATAGTGCCACTTCCTTTGGGGGGGGTGTCCTCTTTTTCCAAACCACCACACTTGGGAATAATGGCTGGGCATCTGTGTGTAACTTAAACATTACAGAAAGAGAATCAAGCATGGTGGTTTGTGTAGGGAGACAGAAGGGAGAACAGCATCACCTCTGCAGCAGATGAGAGCTTGCCGTGTGGGACTAATTGTGGAAAACAGCTCTGCAAGGAGGCAGCATGTTCAATGACAAATGAATGGGGTCCATATTACAGGCAAGTAGACTTTCCTGCTCTTCTCCACTTGGCTTCCCGATGTGGGGCAGAATAAGCCCCAGGGTGTGGTAGACTCAAAGGCTTGTTTAACTCAAAGTAACTCCCAGCTTTGTTTTGCCACTATTTTTTTTTTCAATGATAAAAGATGAAACATTGAGCTCATTCAACACGCCAGAGTCTACCGAAGAAGGAGTGGTCAGGTGGTCTAGTTCTTGCCAATCGCTTAGGTAGAATTCTTATTTCCAACTAAAAAGGGGCCCAAGAGGTGGCTCAGAAGGTAAAGGAGCTTGCCACCAAGTCTGATGACCTAAATTCAGCATCCAGGACCCATATTGTAGCAGGGGAAAACAGACTCCAACAGGTATGTCGTAACATGTGTGAGCCCCTAGCACCCTACAGAATAATACTGCAATAAAAAAAATTCAAATTAAAGTCAAATCACTTTGTCCTTGAATTTTTCTCTCTTCCTCCCTGGAGGTGTAACAGTCATTCTCTGATGACATATCATTATATAGGATCAAGATCTAAGACTCTGGATCTTTGAGGACACGCTTCAGTGACTTCCTGCCCTGTCCTGCCTAATTTGGTGTCTTGCTACGGAAGACAAATAAACTCTTATTTGGATAAGCTCCTGTTAGTTGGGTTTTCTGTTGTTTATAGTGGAAACTGTCCTGTAAGGCTGTAGGGACAAGGCCTCAAGGTGGCAGGTCCTGTACTGCTTAATGACAGGGGCTTGCAGTTACTCAAGTGATTAATTGGAAAAAATGAAAGGAACGGACTCATGTGGTAACCTCAGCTGGTGATGTGGATCATGTAGTTTTAGGCATTATCTCATCCTCTCCCAAAATAGCATCATGACAGGCTGGGCGCAGGTGCCATCAACCTTGATACCCTTGGAGGCTAAAGCCCAGAGACACTCAATGAGGGATTTTCTAATTATATAAGCAGCGCATGAACTGGAACGGCCATAATCATGGCAAAGGCAATCTCCTGATGGTGGCACGGAATGCTTTGTGTTGCAAGCACTTGGGTGACAGCTGCTTGAGTAGCTGCGTTTGGTAGACTATCCATCTCCAATTGGAAACAAGTAGATATCTGTACAGTTCCCATGGTGACGGGCCTTGGTAAAGTCACAAGGCTCTTCTTTGGGATATAGGGAATGTCCACTGGCTTTGAAAATTCATTTCTTTTAGGAGGAGAACTCCCACTTTTGGCTTCTAGTGCACCCTGCCTGTAAGAACTCTTTTTAAAAATTCACTGGAGAACCACTATTATGTGTCCACTATATAAATGAGCCTTTCTAGTAACCCCTCTTTCTTTGCTTTGCCCTTTGTGGGAGACCCTTGTTTCTTGGAAGTAAAAGTGGTCCACGTCTACCCCTTCTAAATGATGGCTCGAGAGTTTGCTTTTTTTTTTTTAATCTGAAGACTTTACATCATGTCTTCCACTATTAGTCCATATCTAACAACTACTACGTCAAGGGCTGTCCCTTGCCCTCTGCCGCCCCCCCCCCCCCAACATATGTATCATCTTCAGGTTTCATGGCAGGAACAGTTATCCACTGAGCGGCCCAAGGGAATTCTTACTGTTTCTCTATTTGGCCCACATTTGATGAGCTTTCCTGGGTGATGAGCTTCAACCACGTGTTTCCCTCCAGCGGAAGAGAACTGGAGAGGGTCACAGTGATCTCAGGCTGTTAGAAGCTGAGTCTTTCCAAACAGCTCAGTACTGTGTGCTGAGCCCTTGAGCCCTGCTCATCTGTGCTGGAACTTTCCTCTCTGTTTTCCTCCCCAGGTGCCTGGTGATGGTTTGGTGACTGGTTGCTAGGATTCTACCCCATAGAACCCCCCTGGGGGATACAATTCTTCTGCAGCACCACTTCCACCCACTCCCTTCTTGGGGCTGGACATTATCTTTCTGCCCTTTGAAAAAGAAAACCTGTAGTCTATTACAAGATCAGATGTGGAAATGACCTTGGGGGAAAACACAGTCCCAGGAAAGTATTTTTTAAAGCCCGAGAACATTCCTCTAAGAGAGAGTACAGTCTAGGGTTACAGAGAAGGCATGGCAAGACCAAATAACGGTTTACCTCAAGGCAACTAGGAGCTGGAAGGGACACAGAAAGGGGACATGTATTTTACACCCCAAGGATCTACCTCCAGTGATCTACTTTCTTCAGCTAAACTAAGCTCCAAAAGTTTCCAGAACTTCCATAAAATATACCACAAATTAGGGACCTGGGATTTACCACCTGATGTTGTGGGAGATGTTTCATATTCAAATCATAACACTCTACCTCTGAGCACCAAAGACTCATGGCCACACTGCAAAATGCATCCAGTCTATCTCAGACAGCCCCCCAAGTTTAGTTGAGTCTTTTTTGAGGCTCAAAGCAAACTCTTAGCTGTGAACCCATATATATATTATATTTATATATTTTTATTTATATATATTTACATATATATTCAAGATACAGTAGCATGCAGTAAATATGACTATTCCCCAAATAAAGAATAGGGAGAGAAAAGGAAGGAACAAGATTGAAAACCAGGAGGAAAAGCATTAAGTTTTGTAGCTTCACGTGTGATATTGGGAGCACACAGTGGGATGTAAGCTCCAAGGAGGACTGGGAGTGCTCATCCTGGTAGCCTTGTCCACTGCTGCCCATATGCCCTCTCTGTTGGGGGCAGATACTGGGTGCCCCTGGCCTTCTTCAACAGGTTTCTATGCTCCTAGTGTCTCTAATATTCTGAATTCACCACTTAAGCTTGGAGTCCCCCTCATAGCTTGACTTCTTACACTCTCTTACCTACCTAGGGATCAGGCTGAAAGTTTATATTGTTTTTTAATGGAAGATCCTGGCTGGAGATGTATCTTGGCAGTAGAGTACCTGTCCAGTACATACAAGGGACCGGGTTTGAGTCCTGAAAATTAAAGAAATAAAACTTTAGAAAATGAGATAAATAAAAAGGATATTGGCTCTTAACCTCTATCTGTCTCCCAGTCTGCTTGCCCCACTCCCTCAGAATCTACAGAGGCTGCACAAAGGCACCGTCTCCATTCTGCACCCCTTTTCCACTGCTGTGTTCCTCACCCGAATGCTGTGCCTACATCTGCTAAGAACTGTTCTTAGCAAGCTCCCCTGTGTCTTCCATGTGGATGCACACAGTGTTGTTACTCTTCTGTTTTGATTCTTTAAGATAATTAAAAATTGTTTATATGTGTGTGTGTATGCTGGCATGCATATATGTGTGCGTGCACCACGGAGAAAGTGTGGAGAGAGGTCAGAGGTCAGTTTAGCATTGTTGATTCTCTCCTTTTATTAAATGCAGCTGTGATCAAGCAAAGACTGTTAGGCTTGGCAGCAAGTGCTCCTCCTGTGGAGCCTTCTCACGAGCCCTTTTCTTCGTGGTTTTCACTTGGCAATGTCGCCCCTGAGCTGCTATTGGCTCCTATGTGAATTGTTGTCTCCCAGCCCCTCTCCTTTGTCACCTTCAGGCC